AGCACTGACATCTGAGCCCAGTGGGATTAATAGTGTTCATGCTTTTGGATTACTCTGAGTGTCAAAGAAAGTAATGTTAGAACACTTCTCACACAGATACATTTGCATGTGTGTCCTTTCCTGTGTCCCGGCTGCATCATAGAACATGAGTAATCTTGTTTCTCCTCAGTGCCCCAGAACGGTCACATTTTTTGTGCCATACGGTCTCTGTCGCAACTACTCATTTCTGCCACTGTAGCACAAAACCAGCCATAAACTACATGTAAGTGAGTGGGCCTGGCTGTAATCCAGTAAAATTTTATTTAGCAAAACTGCATCTAGAAGCTCAGTAAATATTTGTTGAATCAACTTGTGAGTTGAATGTCTTTGAAAATATTCTCCACCTTCAAAGTGCTCAGCAGATAAGATGATATATCATGTGTATGCCATCTTACAAAGTTCTGCATTTCCTATAAGAGGCACAAATGTGTTGCAGATATCTAAAGGTAATAAATTGTAAAATTTAGGCTCCATCCTAATGTTTTTGAGACCGAGATCAGAGGTAATTTTCAGTTATAAATAGAACACAGAATTTAGAGTCAGAGACTTCTTAAAATTTGCTGACTGACCTTGAGCAAGTTTCTTCATGTCCTAATCTAAGAACCTCAATCTATAAAATAGCATTAACAATACCTACCTCAAAAGACTGCTATAAGAAGAAAATCAGATTATGTATCTGTAGTATTACATTAAAAACTCAGAACTGCTACAAAAATGTAAGAGACATAGCAGTCACTCTGTTTTGAATTATATTAGATGATATGGGGTATCCAGAAACTGTCTTTTAATAATATGTAAATTAAATATGCTTTAAAATCCTATACCAGCAACTAAGCTTATACAACTTACAATTGTAGGTATTTGAATAGTTTTTTAATGTCACTAAATACAAAACTATTTTTAGCTGTCTCCAAACATGATCTTGCATCTCTCAGTTCTTTGGCAATGGTAATATTTAAGCATATTTTCAATCAGTTAAAAGTTCTCAGATTCTGAACATTCTATCATAGTACCGTGGAATTGTAAACAGATGCCCCAAACCATGAAATAATGGAGTTCTTTATTAACCCAGCATAGTTTCTCAAAATCGTTCTAAAATACATGTAAGTATTCTTTCTAATACAGTAATAAGTGTTGGTATATACTTAGGATGGTATAAGAGGTATTTTTTAATTTGGATACACTATGGGTAAGGTTTATGTTACTAAGTATGTATTTACACTGCGACCCAGATGTAAATTTTTTTTCACTTAAATATTTGTTGAATATTACTGAATACAGGCATTATCCTAGGAATTAAAGTTTACAGAAGTGAATTTAACAAGAAAAAAGAACCCTGCTCTCATGGAGCTCAGCCTAAGTTTGGGAAGACAAGTCTATTGACAGATAATTAGATTTCATTAAGTGCTATAAGAGAAGTGGAGCTCCACTCTGAGCTCCAAGAAAGTGGCTCTTAACAAGATGTTTGAAGGTATGCAGTGTAAGGCTGAGCCACTGGCTCCACTGTGTATATCACTGTTCTCTCACTATCTGTTTCCCTATCCAGCTCTGGGGTGCCTATGGCTTCAAGATGACAACTGAGCTTTCAGGTGTTGTTTCTGGGTTTGGGAAGGAGCTAAAGACTTTCTCCTCCTAGGACTTTATTGGAAAAGGAAAGCCCGCCACAGGAGAGGCTGAAATTGTGACAGGTGGCCACTGCTGGCCTTAAGGGAATCTAGGAATTCCATTTCTTTTCAGCCTCTGTAGTAGAAGAAAGCAGGGATAAAGGAGTTGCTCTGGCCATTGTGCCGAGCTACATGTGTCCACATCAGTCTGATCAGTGGTCAAACAGGAAAAGCTGCCACATACCGTCAAATAATACTTGATTATATAAAACAATGACTTGCAGATCATTAAATCACTCATAGTCGCTTAAAATTTTACTCCCTGGAATGAAAACAGGCTGTCTGCTTGTGCCATGTTAACTTGGCCACAATAACTTTTCCTCCTTAAAAAAATTTTATCACCGGAATCGTGCTCTAAATGTAGACAGATGAACTTAATCTTGATCTAATAAGATATAAGAACTGGAGGGTTGTTAATGTTGAAATTTCCTGAAAATAAGTAAATATTTCATTTAGTGTTCTAGCAAGCAGCTATTCACAGAAAATGCTTTATTGATTTACTTATCGTATTTTGTCTTCAGTTTTTATCAAGTCCCTTATGTATGTTTAGCCCCTATGTTATCAATTAGTTTAATAAACATCTATTTATTAACTGTTTTGGCCCTTTGCAAGGCCTTGGGAATGCAAAAGCTAATAAGCTTGGTTCCTGCCATCAATACATTTAGTGTAGTAAAAGAAGACAAATGTGTAAAACAGCAGGTGCATTGGAGCATTGTGATTGCTGGGGCAGGAATTATATGTAATACAGTAGGGACATGAATGAAGATGTCAGATGTGATCAGGGAGTTGGGTATAGTGTGTTGTAAATAAGAGTATCACTAACAACTCCAGGTAACACAAATGTATATTCATAAACCAATTGACACTTGAGCTGGGAAGCTTGCTGAGTGTCTTAATAGTTGAAAAGGAATTAGGGTACCATTCCAAGCAGAAGCAACAATGAGAAAGTCTCAGGAATGAGAGACCAAGATACAGTAAGGTACAGAAGATTTATCAGAACCTACAATGTAGGATAGAAAGGATTTAGCAAGACATGTCACTAGAGAGGTAGGTAGTGAGCAGATTATGCTTTTTTATTGTTGATATTGTCTTTATTCTCATTTGTAAGGATGTTCTTGAAGGCTTTCAGAAAGGTGAGTGGTATGGCCAGCCTTTCATTTCAGAAAGATCACCCAAACAGATGTGTGCAGTCTGAACTGCATGGTGTAAGAAATAAAAGCAGATAGTAAACTGTTGCATCAGAATGTTTACATGAAGATCCTGAAGTAAGAAATAATGATAGCAATGGAGAAGCAGGGACAGATGTGTAATGTACTACAGTCTAAAGACTTAGTGACTGTTTATGCGGCAAGTTAGCAAGAACTGCAGTGTCTCCACATTTCCTGGAAGATGGTAGTGTTTGGGCTACAGCAGGGAATACTGAAAAAGGAACAAGTTTGTAGGGGAAAAATACGGATTCATTTTAGGAGTTGTTGAACTTGAGGTGTTTGTGGGACCTAAAATAGATAAATCTCAAAGCCTGCATATGTATGTAATATATATGTATGTGCTTTTTTTTAAGTTCATCATAGATGTTCAGGTTGGGGATAAAGGTTGAACATAACTGAGATGACTAATGAAAAGCACCTTGAGCAAGTCATTGAAGAGTTCCAAAGACTAGAACTTCGAAGAACAAAAGGAGAGGCAGGGGAGACAGATAGTAGAATATGGAGATCATGCCATGAGTATGAGGGCTGTAATAGTTAGAAGTAAGACTGTCATCACTGCTCAGATGTCATTAATGCAGTTGCATTTGGAGGGCATTAATAACTTATTCCAAAGTATTTTCAGAATTATATAGGTCAGTTTGAGAATTGTCTGCTGTGTCTATTTTTTTCCTCTTCTTTTCAGAAGAATCTCAGGTTTTAGTTGCACACAATGGCAACCTAGCTAGTCCTTGTATCTCAGTTTCCCTTGCAATAAGTGTGGCTTTGTGCCTTAAGTTTGGCCTAAAGGGACATGCACAAAGGATACATGCCACTTCCAAATCATTACCTAAAGTAGGATGCCAAATGATGTGGAACCCCTCCTCACCACCCTCCATTTAGCAAGCTAGAAGCAGATATAGAGGTAAGCTGGCCTCCACAGCATAGGGATACAGAAGTACTAATGGGAGCACTTCAAAATAGAAGGAACCTAGATCCTTGAATGACTTTATAGGGCAGAGCCACCCTACCTCTCTGAATGTTTGGTTGAAAAATAGCATGAATTGACTCCAGCAAGTATAAAAGGATTTTTTGATGGGCCAGGTGTGGTGACACATGCCTGTACTCCCAGCTTCTCAGGAGGTAAAGGTAGGATTATGGTTCAAGGCCAGCCCAGGCAAAAAGTTAGTGAAACCCTATCTCAAAAACAAGCTAGGGACCAGGCATGGTGGTACACATAGTCCCGACTACTTCTGAAGCAGAAATACGAGGATTGATGTCTGAGGCCAGCCCAGGCAAAAGCATGATATCTGAAAAACAGAATAATGCAAATGAGTCTACGGGAACTGAGTGAGATTTGGCAAATGGAGCAGAGCAGAACACTGAGGCTGTGTGTGAATAAATACTGGTTGCTGCTGGGACTTGCAAAGAGAACTTACATGTTGAGTAGTATCATTGTTTCTGGGAGATAAATGTTCAAACCTGGTTTGGGAGCAAATTCAACTATCTGCCATGCACCAGGCACTTTTCTAGGTGGTGAATAATGAGGATAAGATTCCTGCTCCTGTGGAGCTTTCATTCTAGAAAGGGCAGACCAGTAAGACAATATAGAGACACAGAGGTACTGTTTCAAAATTAAAACACCATGCTGCAGATACAAGATTCCAGGAGAGTACTCCAGGTAAGCTCTCAGAGCAGTCATTTGCTGCTAAGTTTGTAAGTAAAATGAGCAGTTCTTAATGTATATAGTACTTAAGCACTCTGCAGAAAATGTTCCAAAGAAAAAATAATTTTGTCACAAGTACTTTCTTTAGCAAAAGTAATTTGCTTGTCTCTCCTGTTATATGCTACATGCAGGGATATTATTTTTTATATGTTAGTTAATTGGGTATATACCAAAAAGTCAGTCATTACCTATGATAATGTTAAGTTGTATTTGTAGCTTAAAATTTCTAGTATCTAAAAAGTAAGATGGCATTTTTACAATGTTATCTACAACTTTGGTAGGGGCATTTTTAATTCTCAGTGTAAACATTAGCCTATGCCATATAATCCACCCTGATTATCTCTTCTCCCTCTTGGGATCTTAATGAAGCCCTTTCCTCTTTTCCAGGGTGCTGATAAGTCTGTGAAAGGTCCAGATGGACTGACCGCCCTTGAAGCCACTGACAACCAGGCAATCAAAGCTCTTCTCCAGTGATGGATGGATGGACTGATAACTTGGGAAGAATGACTCTCCTGTGGCCTCACACTGCTGCCTGTCTGTCTGTCACTCTCTATCTGCCAGCTTCTTCAGCTCAATACTTTAAGAGGGGTGAGGGGAGAGAGAAATTCATAACAAATCAGACTACCAGAAACAAACCTTGTTTTGGAGGAGGGGAAAAAAACATGTGGTCAGGCTTTTACTAGGATTCCTGATCAAGCCAGCCTCTTTTCCATTTCTAATAAAATGCACAGCTTATACCCAAGGGAGAGCAAAGACACAATGTAGCGGGATCATTTGGACCTTTTCAGCTCCCACGCTAATTAGATTGTGTCAAAGGTCTGATTATACAAAGGCCAACTCTACCTATTTGGTAGCCCTAGCTGTGAACAGTAGTGGCTGCTGTGATGTAAACTTAGGGTGCTGAGATCAGCAATTAGCTACAGCCTTCTGCCTTAAGATTGCACTCTCCTGGGGGTTCCTGGCTAGTTAAGAGCGCTGCCTGTGGTTGGTGACCAAATCTTTCCTCAGTGACTCTGAGCTTTACATGAAAGTTCAGTTAAGGTGAGGAGGGGCACACTCCTAATTTGCTGGAGACTGAACTTTGGATTTTCTCTCCCCTTTCACATGTATTTCATGTCTCTAGATAAAACTGACTAGTTTTATTTATAAAATCTTAAATTTTAGAAGTCTAAAGGAAGAATCATTCCAGTATGTATTTTTCTTCTCTAGATTCAGACATTTATGTAACATTGAAACACTTTTAAACTCCTGCTGGTAGTAAAAGGAGACTTAAAAATAGAATCAGGCTCTGGGGATGTAGTTCAGTGGTAGATCACTTTGCCTAGCATACACAACCCTGGGTTCAATCCCCAGCACTTCAAGAAAACAAAACAACTCCTTGTCTAAAAATAAAATCATAGCCATAAGTATGTTAGTATCATATGAAGAGAGAATAGTTGTCTTGGTACCTCTGGATTTTTTTCATTTGCTATTTGAGTGACTTGACCTCAGTTATGTTTGAAGAGTCAGAAACATTCGTTGGAATGATCTCTCTTACCCATCTTAGATCTGATTACTTAGTGCACCAAAGCTATCACTGGATTTACTATTTGGACAAATTTAATCCCATCCTTTCAAAAGTATGCTTGGTATCATTTCCCCGAATTGTTGATAAGTTTCTCCTGAACACATGCCAACCCACCTGCCTAACATTTTTGTTTCTTTTGTCAATCATGTATTGCATAAAGAGTGACAGTTCAAAATACATTCTGTGTTCTTAGAATTACAGTGCCCTAAAATGGTGTTCTTATGACCTGCAGAAAACTTAGACACATTTAAAAATGTTTATTTCATGAACAGTAAAATTAATTGAAACATGTAATCTTAAATTTGGTATTTTGCATTTAAAATATTATGATTTCTTTGACTTGCCATCCATATAAGCTTACTAAAAATATTAGGATTTTTCCTTAGCCAAATCATGCAATATTTGAATGTACCTCAAATTTTTAAAGGGGGGTGGGTGGGTTAGGGACTTATATTCAGATTGTGGGTAATAAAGAACTAATGATTTTTTTAAGGCAATGTAGCATTCTACAGCAGGGTTAAACTATTGTCAGGAATAGTCAGCCTGGCTAATAATAAATTTTATTGGTCAGTTGCTGATTAGTTGGTTGGCATGCATGAGTGAGTGGGTGCACGTGTGTGTGTGTGTGTATCCCCATGACTTCTTTTTTTATTCTGTGGCATTTTTGCTTTCAACTAGCCTAACCCTGTAATCTCCCTGTGTTCAAGAAAACAATCACAAAACGGTTTAAATACGTAGCTGTATTTGGCTAATTCTGCTGTCTTAATGCAGTCTATTAAGTTGAACATCCTGATTGGAAAGTGAGGGCACTCTGTCAGTCTATAACTATCAACATAGTGCACCAGGGTATTTTGATACCTTTGTTTTCACCTCTTGGCATAATGCTATTTAAAAGGCTTGAGTTTTACCCTTTACACAGTCTTCACCTTTACTTTCAAAGCGTTCGTTGTAGTTGGCTATTGCAGAGAGTGCATTTTCCTATCATTCCTAAACTGGTCTGCTTTCTACAGTCATTATGGCACCAAAACCATGTGATTCTTCAATATAGTTTATCTTGATGTTCCTTGTAATGCAGTAGAGGCTACTTCGCCTTCCCTCTTCTTTCTTGGCCATTTTGTAAACCCCATAAGTATGAAGCAATTGCTTGAGAAAACAACATGTAAGCATAGAATAGAAGAGACTGACCAAGATGGTTTACATTTTTTTTCTAACTAGATTATTTATAATGTATTTCTGAACCACTTGGCAGAGAAGATCATAACACTTAATGTTCATATTTTAGTAAAGGAAGCTAAAATTATGTCTGCTTTTTGGTACTTACATGCATTAGCAAAAGGCTAAGTTTTGTTCTCCACTGAAGTACTATTTAACATCTCAAAAAAATTTGCATGTTCTGTAGTCTTGTATTAAATCAGTCATTTCGTATGCAGTGTATCAAGTAAAACAGGTGGTTTGCCTGTTTACTGTAGTACTAACACATTCCCCCTGCAGCTTCAGACTGGAATCTGTAGGCTTAGAGTTCTCAAAGCACCTAAATATCCCACGTAGTTCTGCTGTGCACAGCTCACCTATCTAGACCCAGCCAGGCACAGAAAAGTAGGAGGTAAGTGCAGTGTGTGGAAGTCACAAGCAAATAGGCCCTATATTCATTGATTTCTTTCTCCCAAATAATAGATTTTGAATTTACATGTACCTATTTCATTTTTTTTTTAACTTCAACTAAGCTGCTGTTTTCTTCCATGCAATATTGTATACTCAATTGTGTACAGAAGAAGCTGGTAAGAGTGCCCTCCTACATAAATAAGTAATTGCTGTGTTTTGCATGCAAAATTTTAAAAATTTAAATTGTCCTGATTCTATTTTGTAAATGGCAAAACAATCATCTTTCTAAGCAGTCATGGAGGAAGACTAGAGCTTTGTGCATTTTGATATATTTGAGTTCATTTTTCCACAATGTCATACTTTTGACATAATTGGGTTTCTCATAAGTATCCTAGTTCATGTACATCCGAATGCTAAATAATACTGTGTTTAAGTTTTGTGTTGCAAGAACAAATGGAATAAACTTGAATTGTGCTACAGTTAACATGTCAGCAGCATTTTTCCCCTCGGTGAGTTACCTTCCATTTCCTGTCTTCTGTACAACTATACCAGAACTTTGATTGACTTGAGATTTTAATTAATTTCAATTATTTTATTCCACTTCTAGGAAAAAAAAAAAGATGAAGCATATTAAGGATTTAATTGAAATAAGCCATACTAGCCATTGAAGGAATTTTTTTTTTTTTTTACCAGTTTCCTAATGCAAATTGTCCTAGTGTAAATGCTCAGTAGCCCTTCACCCTCCAGGCTGACTGGGAACAAGGTACAGCCAACAGAGTATTGAGACTTTAAAGGTGTTGAAGACAATAGAATCATGGTCAGCCTCTTGCATCCTTTCATTGCTCATTTAGATTGCTGCACATTTCTTGGAGACCTACATTTCCCAAATTCATTCACTTTTTGGGCCTAGTTTTCAGGGTGAATGATTATTTTGATTATACACTGAATAAGTATATGATTTTACAAGATTATATGTGAAATTAGTTTGATCCTGTTTTAATCTTGTCAACACCAGAAGACTGTTGGGTAATTTACTTTTGAAGTGGTCCATTAAAGATAGAAAAAAAATAGAGGTGATACAGCAAAAGCTCTGTTTCAGAACATCCATGTTGTCAGCAAAAGTATAAACAGATAGCTCATGGCTTTAAGTGGTCATGTTCACAGAAAATTTTTCAAGTTCTCATTAGAGTCTGTAGGGGTGGGCATGGTGGCTCATGCCTATAATCGCAACTTCTCAGGAGATGTCCCAACTTCTCAGGAGATGAAGGCCAGGCAAAAAGTTAGCAAGATCTCCATCTCAACCAATAAGCTGGGAGTGATGAACACATGCCTGTTACCCAGCGATGCAGGGGAGGTCAATAGGATCACTGTTCAGGCCACGCCAGGCAAAAATGTGAGATCCTATTTGAAAAATAACAAGCAAAAATGCTGGAGATGAGGCTTAAGCAGTAGAGCACCTCCCTAGAAAAAGAAAAAATGTATAGCCTGTGAAGAAGAGGCTTAAAAATCTATTTAGATATGTTTTACAGGGAACAGAGCCCCTTTCTAGAATAATCGAAGAGCAGACCAGTGGATGTGATGGGGAGGAAAATGTGAGCTCAGGGAATCTCTTGTGATTTCAGGACTTGCAAGCAGCACAGTGTACCAGATTGCCATGCTATCTTTTTTTCTCCCTTTCTCTCCAAGATCAGTGATTCTCAAAATGTCATCCCTGGACCAGCAACATCACAGTAACATGGAAACTTGATATAAAAGCAAATTCATTGCACCCCTGCTGAGACCTACTGAATCTGATTCTAGGCTGGGTCAGTGGTCTGTGTTGTAAGAAGCCCTCCAGGTGATTTTGATGCACACTACAATGGAAGGACCATTAACAAGGCCATAGGGAAAGGAAAGCATCAAAAGCTATAAATAGAATGTCATCTGGCGTGGCTTCCCAGAGAAAATGGAGCATAGCAACATTCTAAATCTTGAAACTCCGGACACCCAAGAAAATCTTAAGTGTCAAAGTATGCTCTGGCCAAATGTAGTCAGGGTGAGATGTAACAATGAGCCTAAAGATGCAACACTGGTGAGAATGAACCTTCATTATTCTTAGGATTTTTTCCCACTAACGCATGTCATGACAATTACTGTGGATGGTATTTTTGTAGTCCACACCAGCATAGGGTTACAGTCCCCAAAACTGAATTCTGACATTTGAAGCCTTACCCAAGTCCTTTTTCTGAGGTCCCAAAGGATCCCCCAGGAATCCTTGGGAGATAAGTCATCAGCAGCCGTCTCCCGTTTCCCACGTTGCGGGTGGAAATGCTCTGCAGTGCACTGTGAGGTGTAGTGGGTGCACCTCTGACTCAAGAGCAAGCAGCCTTTGTGCCTGGTACTGTGGGGTGCCATGCAATCCTTTCCCCTCCTGGAGGATGGCCTTTACCTCCTGTTGCTTTCTTTATGGATGCCACCCTCACCCAGTTTTCTTTTCCGGGTACTAGCTAGGTCATCACATATCAGCCATAGGATATATTTCAAGGTTTTTACTTCACTGAAATACAGTTACTGAGAGAAGGAAAATGTCCAGCAACTTTAATAGCACCTCGTTCATGGTAGGTTTCACTGTTTGTCCCAAACTTAAGATATCAAATGCGGTAAAATAAAAACATTTTACTTAGTGGTGGTGCACCCTTGTAATCCCAGCACTCTAGGGGCTGAAGCAGGGCAATCATGAGTTTGAGGTCCACCTCGGCTACATAGTGAGACTCTGCCAAAAAATAACAGCTTTGACTCAGTAAATTCCACCAAAGAAAAGACTGGCTTTTAGAACCATGAAGCTACTTGAGTGTCAGTGTCCCCAACAGTTGGCCTAAGCCTCATAAGTACTACTGGTAGTGCAAACACAAATCAATGAGGGAAAGACAAATATCACAGAGTCACAAGGGTTCATTGAGGAAATGCTGACCACGGGTCAAATGCAGGTCATGTTGAACCATTGTGGGATGTACTAAAGCACGGCTGTAAATGGCATAGCAGAACAAAGCATCATCCAGCCACCCTAGCAACTTCTATTCACTCAGCAACAGCAAGGGCAGTCTGTTTACACAGTATGGATAGAACAGTGGAGTCACATTTCTGGCAATATAGCAACAGTATCTTGTCATACAAAGGAAACTAATATGTAGACAATTCCTAGCCCCTGGATGCTGGTTTTAAGAATACTAACAACTAGAATTTCTTAAAGAAGCTATCTGATTTCTTAGTGTTTACTAACAAATCTGAGCATGTATACTTGTATGTCCTCTTCTGGTGCTCTACTAGGGTTCCACATGTTTATGCACATCCCTTGCAGCAAGTGACCAAGTCTAGGTTTGCCATGCTTGTGATTTGCAGGTCAAATTTCAGTAGGCTTAAAAGAACTCAAGATCTAAATCTTGAGACCACAGTAGATGCTAAGCAGGGCCTCCAGGGTAATGCCACTCTCCCAACCCGTTCCCTCTGCCCCCAGCAAGTGGGCAAGGAGGGAGGTTCCATCAAGGGCCAGCAGCAGGTCACCACCCTGATGGCCTCTTCACAGCACGCTCTGGAGACCTACAATGCCTTCAGACCCATGGAGAGGACAGCCAGGGTTTCACTTACTTCACAAAATGGGACCATGGTCCGTAGGCTTCAACACACCAAGGAGGACGTTTTCCAGTATCTGCTCATCTCCCTAAGCACAAACGGCGTGGAGGTTTGGTTTTCATCTTTTTCCCATTCCTCTTTTTAAATGTACAATTGCATAAATCCTGTAGTTTATCTCATCTCAGTAACTATGAGTTTAAATCTTGTTTCATGTCATTATCAGCAATGTCATTCTTCATCTATTAATAATCAATAAAACCCCAATTAAAACTTGGACAGTTGCCACTGGCAACTGAATGACTAACTCAAGAGGTATTGATAATGCAGACAAAAACAAATTCCTCTCGGGGATAAACCAAACCAAATGCAATGTTTTGGTTGTGTTATCCAAGTAGTTACCTTTTAAAAGTTTAAACTCCTTCATAGCAGAAGATTTAAAGGAAGGAAAAGAAGATGAAGAGATTTTAAAAGTTAAGAAAATCAAAGGACATGACAGAAGGTTGAAAGGGAAGAAAAAATTTAAATTTAAAAATTACAAAAAGGTTCAAAGGGCATGACTAAAAGGAGGTTAAATATCAGGGAGTTAAAAAAAAAAAAAAAAACCCTAACCTGTCTAATCCAAAATAATACAATTGGTGGAATTTATTTCCAGTTTCCTGAGATGCTCACTATTTTTATTATGCGACTCAAAGGTAAGTTATAATTTACCCTGACTGCTAAATTAAACAGTATAGAACAAAAGGAAGATCTCTGTTGGTTATTATTTTTCTGTGGATACAGTTACGTGTTTGGGTTAAAGATTACCTTATGCTTCCTGACACTGTGTTTATAGAGTTTTGCCATGCTGTGAATTAACCGTTGTTTTGCTTTAAAAATCACATTTTGACCCCATTCTTTCTCTTTGAAATTGTCCGCTCATGTTTTCATATACTCCTGGGCTAATTATGTCAAAGGGTAGGGGGAGAGTGTGGAAGCAGATTTCAAATACAGGGTGCTGAGCTGCATGAGGTTGAACTCCATGGATCACTAGGAGTGGTATGTTTTTCTTTTCACACTATGTTGTTTGGTACCCTGCATACATTGAAAAGACACAGTCCTAAACACAGAGATGAATTTACATCCTAAATCAACTTGTCTAGTTTTTTTGTGCTCACAGTTGGTTTAGTTGAAAGGAGTTCCCCAGAATCCCAGAGAAAATCCTGCCACCAGTGACCAAGTTCCTTGTGTACATAAGCATTTCCTTCTAATGAAAATTGAACGCAAAGGTCTTTTTTGCCCAGCCTTGCTTCCTTCCTCTGATGATGTTCAGTGGGTCTAATAAGATAGAATTAAGACCAGCGAGGGCACAATAATCCAGCAGTCCCATGAGAAAAATGGGTAAGCTCAATTTCAACTAGACTTTGTAAGGAAGTCAAAGTATCAGTAATCAAGCCAGAAAAGAAACTCTGGTAACACACCACTTAGGAGCACAAAAGGTTGTGAAATGATTTTAAGATGCTTACAGACAAACTTTTGAGAAAGCAGTTTTGCTAGACCATTAGATCTAAAAACATCTTCCATTCCCAAGTGAGGGTTGTAAAAGTGTAGAATCATGAACAAGAATACCATGGGAATAGAATGTTAGACCAACCTGAGTAAGTTCTTTGGCATCCCAACTCCAAAGGCACTTTTATCTCATTCCCAAGGAAACACTTCCCACAGAAAAACTCTGTCATGTCATCCACCAATGAACACTAAGCGCCTCTGGTTAGGATGGAGAGAGTTGGGCACAACTAGACAGGATATCAAAATCAGAAACAGCCACCTGAAAGCCAGGCCAGGGGCAACGGCAATACTCAAGGCCTCTTATCTGGCCTTTCCTATCCCCTCC